GCAACTGATCAAAACACAATTTAGAAGGGATTTCAACTCATTCTCTCAAATTTTCAAACCCTAAGCTCCCGTATGTGATTTTTCAAAGAAGAGTTCTTCCCCAAATCATAGGTAAACGATTTTTAACTCATTTCCTTCAATCTATTTCATCTTTTTACATGATTTCATCACAAAAGCTAGGGTTTTTTATGGGAAATTAGGTGTTCTTGGGTAGAATTTAGGAATTTCGAAATTTGGGGATTTAGACCTCAAATTGAGGTCGGATTTCAAAACCAATTACATATTTGTGCTCGTGGGTAAAGGGGTAGTCGGGTTTTGGTTCGAACTTCGAGTTTTGACCAAGCGAGCCCAGGGCCAGTTTTTGACTTTTTGGGGAAAATATTGGGAAATCTATACTCATGCATTAGAATTGGTTTATTTAGCGTTAATTAATTTTAATTAGTTAATTATGCATAGATTCGGGCAGTTTGGAAGTGGAAACCAAAGGAAAAACGGTATTTGAGGCTTGAGTTTGGCCGTAGAATCGAGGTAAGTGTTTGGTCTAACCTTAGCTTGAGGGATTAGGTGTTGTTGTCTTATTTGCTACGTGTTAGTGTTGAGTACGACGTATAGGTGTGGTGACGTTTGACTATGGCGCCGTTGTTGGTTTTGCCCACAGGTTCAGGGCCATATACAGTATATTGTGACGCATCTCGTATTGGACTTGGTGCGGTGTTGATGTAGATAGGCAAGGTTATTGCCTATGCTTCGCGGCAGCTGAAGATTCACGAGAAGAATTATCTAGTTCATGATTTGTCGCTAGCGGCCATTGTTCATGCGCTGAAGATTTAGAGGCATTATTTATATGGCGTGTCATGTGAGGTGTTCACGGACCACAAGAGTCTGCAGTATTTGTTCAAGTAGAAGGAGCTAAATTTGAGGTAGAGGAGGTGGTTGGAACTATTAAAAGACTATGATATCACCATCTTGTATCATTGTAGGAAGGCCAATGTCGTGGTCGATGCTTTGAGTAGGAAATCGGCTAGTATGGGTAGCCTTGCATATATTCCAGTCGATGAGAGACCGCTTGCTTTAGATGTTCAGGCTTTGGCAAATCAGTTCGTGAGGTTGGATGTATCTAAGCCCAGCCGTGTTCTAGCTTGTACAGTCGCTCGGTCTTCATTATTTGAGCGCATCTGGGATCGGCAGTATGATGATCCTCATTTTCTTGTCCTTAGAGACACAGTGCGACATGGTGGTGCCAAGCAGGTTACAGTTGGAGATGACGGAGTTTTGAGGATGCAAGGTCGAGTTTGTGTGCCTAATGTAGATGGACTACGTGAGTTGATTCTGGAGGAGGCCCACAGTTCCCGGTATTCTATCCATCCGGGCGCCGCCAAGATGTATCAGGACTTGCGACAGCATTACTGGTGGAGAAGGATGAAGAAGGATATTATTGATGTAGCTCTGTGTTTGAATTGTTAGCAGGTAAAGTACGAGCATCAGAGACCTGGTGGTTTGTTTCAGAAGATTGAGATTCCTGAGTGGAAGTGCGAGCGTATCACTATGGACTTCGTTGTTGGACTCCCACGAACTCAGAGGAATTTCGATGCGGTATGGGTTATTGTGATAGGCTGACTAAGTCAGCGCATTTCATTCCTGTGGCAGTTTCCTATTCTTCAGAGTGGTTAGCTGAGATCTATATCCGGGAGATCGTTCGTCTCCATGGTGTGCCCGTGTCTATCATTTCGGATCGGGGAACACAATTTACCTTGCATTTCTGGAGGGCAGTTCAGCATGAGTTAGGCACGCGGGTAGAGTTGAGCACAGCATTTCATCCCTAGACGGACGATCAGTCCGAGCGTAGTATTCAGATTTTGGAGGATATGCTCCGCGCTTGTGTTATTGACTTCGAAGGTTCTTGGGATCAGTTTTTGCCGTTAGCGGAGTTTGCCTACAACAACAGCTACCAGTCAAGCATCCAGATGGCCCCTTATGAGGCATTATATGGTAGACGGTGTCGATCGCTAGTTGGGTGGTTTGAGCCGGGGGAGGCTCGGTTGTTGGGTACAGAGTTGGTACAGGATGCCTTGGACAGGTTAAGATCATTCAGGATAGGCTTCGTACAAGTCAGTTCAGGCAAAAGAGTTATGCCGACCGTAGGGTTCGCGATGTGACATTCATGGTCGTGGAGCGAGTGTTGCTTTGGGTGTCGCTCATGAAGGGCGTGATGAGATTTGGAGAGAAGGGCAAGCTAAGCCCTAGGTTCATTAGACCTTTTGAGATCCTTGATCAAGTAGGAAAGGTGGCTTACAGACTTGCGTTGCCACCGGGTTTACCAGCTGTGCATCCAGTGTTTCATGTGTCCATGCTTCGGAAGTATCACGGCAATCCATCCCACGTGTTAAACTTTAGCACTGTCCAGTTGGATGGAGATTTGACCTATGAGGAGGAGCCGGTAGCTATCCTACACCGGCAGGTTCGTTAGTTGAGATCGAAGAGCTATCCTTCGGTTTGTGTTCAGTGGAGAGGTCAGCCTGTAGAGGCAGCTACCTGGGAGTCCGAGTCTGAAATGCGGAGCCGATATCCCCATCTTTTTACTGACTCAGGTACTTTTCTATGTCCGTTCGAGGACGAACGGTTGTTTTAGAGGTGAAGAATGTGATGACCCAAGGGGTCATCTTTTGTTTTAGAATCCGAATTCGGGTTCCAAGGCCTTGAAAATATCATTTTCTTTCTCCTCGATTTTCGTATGCAGTCCGGGCGCGCTTCCGAAAAGCCTTTATGTGAAATCTTAAAAAAATATTGAATTTTGCCTTTTAAATTGATTAAAGTTGACTTTGGTCAATATTTTTGGTAAACGAACACGGACTGGTGATTTGACGGTCCCGTAGGTCTCGTAGTAAAATATGGGACTTGGACGTATGCCCGGAATCATATTCCAAGGTCCCTAGCCCGAGAAATAAATTTTTGAAGAAAATTGTTAGCTGGAAAATATAAAGATTTTTAGAAATGGAATAGTATGTGATCTCATTGGTATCGGGCTCGTATTTTGGTTCCGGAGCCCGGTACAAGTTTAATATGGTATTTAAGTCGTATCTGTGAAATTTGGTGAGAATCGGAAATGATTTGACATGGTTCGGACGTCCGGTTGTGAAAATAGAAATTTCAAGTGTTCTTAAGAAAAATCATGATTTTTGGTGTTAAATTCGTTGTTTAAGATGTTATTTTGGCGATTTGATCGCACGAGCAAGTCTATATGATGCTTTTAGACTTGTATACATGTTTGGTTTAGAGCCCCGAGAGCTCGGGTGAGTTTTGGATAGGCCATAGAGTGAGTTTGGACTTAGAAAATCTGTTGTTGCATCTGGTATATGTTGCAGGCCTCTAATCTCGCAATTACGAGATCAGGCTTCGCATTTGCGAGCTTCACAGGCTTGGCAATTGCGAGGGTTTCATCGCAATTGCGAAGATGACCTGGGCCAGCATAGTTCGCATTTGCGAAGTCATCAGGGAGGGGCAACCATCGCAACTGCAACCAAAGGTTCGCAATTGCGACAGTAGCAGACATGCAGCAGCTTCGCAATTGCGATGCCTGTCTCGCATTTGCGAGCTTTGCAATTGCGAAGCTCTAGCCGCAAATGCGACATCTGCAACTGATCAAAACACAATTTAAGCGGGATTTCAACTCATTCTATCAAATTTTCAAACCCTAAGCTTCCATAGGCGATTTCTCAAAGAAGAGTTCTTCCCCAAATCATAGGACGATTTCTAACTCATTTCCTTCAATCTATTTCATCTTTATAAATGATTTCATCACAAAATCTAGGGTTTTTCATGGGAAAATGGGTGTTCTTGGGTAGAATTTAGGAATTTCGAATTTTGGGGATTTAGACCTCAAATTGAGGTCGAATTTCAAAACCAATTGCATATTTGTGCTCGTGGGTGAATGGGTAGTCGGGTTTTGGTTCGAACTTCGAGTTTTGGCCAAGCGGCCCCGGGGCCAGTTTTTGACTTTTTGGGAAAAACATTGGGAAATCTATACTCATGCATTAGAAATGGATTATTTAGCGTTAATTGATGTTAATTAGTTAATTATGCATGGATTCGGGCGGAATAGAAGTGGAAACCAAAGGAAAAGCGGTATTTGAGGCTTGAGTTTGGTCGTGGAATCGAGGTAAGTGTTTGGTCTAACCTTAGCTTGAGGGATTAGGTGTTGTTTTATTTGCTATGTGTTAGTGTTGAGTACGACGTATAGGTGTGGTGACGAGTATATGTACGTTGATGTTGAGCATGCAAGTGAGTCTTATACTATGACCGTTGTGTCTCTTATTACGTACTGTTCATGCTTAAACTGATGATTCTCCATGTTGAACAAGTCTTATGATATTTTTCTTGGTATTGGGTAATGGTTGAGTATTGACTCAATCTGAGACTTAAATTGTGAAGTTGACTGTTGAAATGAGATTGGTTACTGTTGATTTCTTTGCCGGGATGTTATTGTTTCTATTGTTTGGGTGAGGAATAGTGTAAAGCACGAAGGATGATGTCGTACACGATATTGTGAGTGAGTGTTAATGCACGAAGGGTGATATCGTGCCATATTTGTGAGTGTTAATGCACGAAGGTTGATGCCGTGCCATGATTATGAGAGTTAATGCACGAAGGGTGGTGTCGAGCCGTTTCTGTTGTTTCTTATGGTGAGGACGAGAGTAAAAGCACGAAGGGTGATGTCGTGCACGTGTTCCTATATCATTATTTCTGTTGGTTCAGATATGGTGTTTACTTTGCTTCTCTATTGAATTACTGTCAGAATCTGATATTCCCCGCAGCATGTTTCCCCTTCCCGTCTTTACCTGTTAAATTTCTGTTATTACTGTTTTCTCGTATATGATTTAACTGCACAAGTTTATATTGATGTCGTGTTCTAGCCTCGTCACTACTTCGCCGAGGTTAGGCTCGACACTTACCAGTACATGGGGTCGGTTGTACTAATACTGCACTCTGCACTTTTTGTGCAGATTTCGGTGACGAACCTCGTGAGTAGAGTTTTGGTTGCTGCCTTCAGTCCACGGGAGACCCAAGGTAGATCTACCGGCGTTCGCAGACCCTGGAGTCCCCTTCCCCCCGGTTTTGGATTTCCTATCTCTTTCCATTTCGAGAACAGCTGTAATTCTTTTAAACCAATATTTGTAGAACTTCTTAGACGTTTGTGAATTGTGACACCAGATCATTGGGGTAGACGTGTATTGGAGTTTTTGAACTGTTATAACACTTCCGCATTTTATATCTGTTTGGCTTTAATTATTATTTATTTTTGTTGAGTTAATTATTAATGTGTTAGAACCATAATTGTTTGCCTGCCTAGCATTAAAGAGTTAGGCGCCATCACGATCCCGACGGTGGAAAATCTGGGTCGTGACATCTACAACGGTTGATATTAGATAATGGATTCCGATTAACCTTATCTCGTAACAATCCATCAGCATCACGCCTCTTTTTTGCCGATGGTATTATTATCTCCTCTAAAATTACTTAGACCAGTGTGGAATCCATCATTGATACGTTAAATCAGTTCACCCACCGCTCGGATCAAATTATCAACTACACCAAATCGAATTTTTTTTCACACAATACATCTCCCTCAGACAAACACTTTGTTCTTACGTCCTTTAACATGAAAGAGGGAACAAACTTTGGAAAGTATCTCGGATTCTCCATTTTTGTTAAAAAAACAAACTATGGCTGACTTCCAATATCTTCTTGATAATTTTAAAAATAGACTAGCCGGCTGAAAAACCAACGTGCTCTATGGCAGGCAGATTAGCTTTAATTAACTCCACACTAAACACACTTTCAAATCATATCATGCAGTTTATTAAACTACCCACACAAGTCATGAAACTCTTGGAACATTACCAACGTAATTTTCTATGGGGTACCACGACTCAAAGAAGAAAATTACACCTCATTAAATGGGATACACTTCAAACACCAAAAGCATGTGAGGTTTGGGACATCCAAAATCTCACCTCCAAGAATAATGAACACCTAGCTGGCCTAGCATGGAGGCTCTTCAACTCTCCTACTACACTATGTGGTGGCTCCCTCCTCATTTCTAAACTTATGGGTAGACGCACAAAATTAGGCACATCCCATACTTGGAAGGTAGTAATGCAAGGTTGGAAATTTTATCAACACGACTCTATATGGAGCATTGCTAAGGGTAGTAATATCAACTTTTGGACTGACCCATGGTTAGCACCCCATTTGACACTACGAAGTGTGATTGGAGGGCCATTAACCGAAGGTGAACAACACTCCACAATCTCCACATACCTCTCTAACCACATAATTAATACCAATAACCTTTCCCTACAGCTGCCTGATGACATACTCTCTCACATAACCTGGATGTTCCTCTCAACAGTATACAATTCTTAGTCCTATGACCGCTTAATCTGGGGCCTCACCCCCACTGGTGATTTTTCAATCAAATCAATGTATTCAGCTATGTATACATTCCAAACTTCCCACACCTACAAGTGGATATGGAAACTAGCCATCCCACTCAAAAAAAGACACTTCATTTGGTTACTCAGCCATAATAGACTACCCACAGCTACTTACCTAACTAAGTTACACATAGCACATTCGCTTCTATGCCCATCATGCGAACAACATGAAGAAACTATTGATCATTTACTCCTCAGATGCCTCATTAATAATGGATTATGGCAGGCTCTAAATATTTTGACCCTAATTAATAATATCCCTCCGCTCCATCATAATCCACTGAATAACCTGTACAAACTTCTATATCTAGACGTACAGTTTCCCACGCAGTTATCGGCCAAACTTCTCCTACCCTACTACCTTTGGCATATCTGGAAAACTCGTAATAAATTAATCTTCGAATCCATTCAAGCCACGCCCAATATCGACCACATAATCAGCCATGCCACATAATATTATTACCTTATCCATTAAACCTATCCACCAAAGATTACACAAACCATCTATGTTAAATGGCATCCACCAGACCCGGGCACCTTCAAACTGAACACTGATGGTGCATCTAAGGGGACTACGGCAGTAAAATGTTTTGGAGGAGTCTTTCGCAACTACACAGGTGATTGGATCCTAGGTTTCGCGGGTAACCGAACCTCAGGCACTCCTATTTCTATGGAGCTAAGTGCATTGCTGGAAGGATTTCAAATTGCTCTACGCTATAATTTAACACCACTAGAAATCAATGTGGATGCCACAGAGGTAATTTCTATACTACGATATCATAACCACCATTACTCATCTATCTTGCATGAATGCAGGTACTTGCTGAACCAATTGGGTAATCCATCAATACAACATGTATACAGGGAGCAAAATAGCATCGATGATGGACTCGGAAAATATGGCACCACCATGGAGAGGCCAACTCACTTACTATTATCGAGCATCCACCGGCCTTTTTGCATACGGAACGATTAACGGGTAATTCCAACGAGTAGATGCATCCTAATGACTACTGCTATCCCACCTTTTTGTATGCCCAGTAGTACAACCACACTCAGTGGTTCAGAATATGTACTAGACTCCTTTTGTAATAATGTACCACAACCTCCCTGTAACATTGCTTTTTAATTAATATAGACTAATCTTTAGTTAACCAAAAAAAAGGAATTGGATAGAACAAAATATTTCTTCTTATATCCGAAAAAGCCTTTTACCTAGTCTTTCAAATCATCATTGTGTTTGAAGTGAAAAAGAAAAGTAAAAGAAGACTACAAATTCTTACTTGGGGTAGTTAAAGAAGTACTAATATTGGCTTATAACCGACATTTGTAGGATCAAAGTATTGTCGCCAATTAAGACTTAGCTTATCTACTCATGCATTTATCACCATTATAGAAAAGAATTATTTTGTTGCAGAAACTTATTCAATGATGACGACCCTTAAAAGTAGCTACAAAAACAATATACATCTAGGGGAAGACGTAGCCTTTCGTTATCTGATTCATCAGAACCCAATAATTTTGGCATAATGCATAAACTTATATATAAGAATCTACCAAAATAGCAACAAATAGAAGATATGAGCGCATAAATTTAGAGATGTAATATGTTAAATGTTAAAAATCTTAAATATTAAATTCATAAAATTAAAATTCTGAATCCGTTTCTGTTAGTATCGACTCAAATAAAGAATAAAGTCGCCAACATCGATTATGCACAAAAGGTTTAAAAAGAGGTCGACACAGAAAGCAAAGACATTTGTGGAGATTCTAGTTGCCACAGAAGACTTTCAGAGTACCCACGATGAGGCTTCCCTTTAAGTAGCGAGTGGGTCGAACTCTTCATTTCAAAAGTCACTTTTTAAACAGATAAATTTACTAAAATGAATTTTAATATTTCTGAATTTTTTGGCATTTGATACGTCGAATATAAATTAATAAATATACTTTACTTGATGTTTGTAGATCGAACTATTCTGGCAAATTAAACTCGATTCATATTATTTATCCTGAAATATTAAGTATAAAACCTTAAATATTTAAGCTAGATATTTGTTATTTATAATCCCATTAGACAAATTATCTGATTGTGTTAAATATTTAATGAAGATTAAAAGTGCTCACATTTGAAAATTTTGAAGGACCAAAATTATTATTATTTTTGGTTAAAGGAATTATTGATTATATTAACAAACTAAATTGTTAAAATAGATACACCATAGGGGTAATTAGCATTATGGGTAATTAGCATCCCCTGTAGTAGTCATAAATTGTTCCATAATATAATTATTATATTCCAAAATGGTTCTAGGAAAAATATTTCTTAGGATGTCTGCACAAAATGTTTCGTTTGCAAACACCGTAGGAACTGCCAACATAGCTGTCCCTGTCCTTCCAAAAAAGATTTTTCCTTGCTCCTTCTTTTGCTAGCAGATCAGCTACCCTGTTCTATTTCTTGTAGCTATATTTCACCATTGTTCTGCCTATCCATTGGATCAACAACCTGCGTTCAGAAAGAATAGAGTCATAAGTATCATTTCCCATTATAAGCATCCTTATGACCTATGTAGAGTCAGTAGCTATTTCTAGGGGTGTGAGGCCTCTTTACTCGGCGATTTGTAAGCCCTACAAAGAGGGCAGTTAGCTCAACATAAGTATTGGAGGTGTGAGCCAGGCTTCCTATGTGACCTAGGATCAAGTCTCCACTAGAGGTCCTAAAGACACCGCCAGTTCCTCTTGCTCCAGGGTCACCTAGTGTTGCCCAATCAGTGTTAAGTTTATAGTGCCCCCTCATGGGAGGTTCCTGCTTAACCCAAATAACAACCTATTTTCTCATTTATCCCTGCTTGTTAAAATATGGTATTCTGTGGCTTTTGCTATAGTATTTGGAGCAGAAATGTGGTCATTCCTTTTTTTTTTAAACAAGGTTGTGATTCCTTGTTAGCCAGATGTGCCAGAAGCAGAAAGGAAAGATAGCCTCGCAAGATAGGTTGTTATTGAAAGGCTTATTCCTAAGGTTGATCCACGTGTTGGACCATGACTGACTTGTGAATGTGGGTGTTGTTGTGAATAAGCAGAGGTGCTTTGAATGGTGCGATTGTGCCAGAATAGCTTGCCGTTGGGGCAATCGAAGAAGATGTGGACAATTGTTTCAAGGTTTGAGGAATAGAAGCAACATATGGCGTTGTAATTGACACCAATTTTCTAGAGGAAAGCTCTAGTAGGGAGTCTGTCGTGATACATCAACCAAAGAAATTACTCAAGAGTATACTTAAAGGCTAGTTTGAATCTACCTTGAACATAAGGGACCACGTTTGTCATTTCCTTAATTTGTGTGTATATGGCACAACTGAATTTACGATTCATGTGATTGGTTATGATTACATTTAAAGGTATTTAAGTTATGTAGTTGACATTACATTTGTTTAAACGGTCACAAACAATTACTTACATGATAATTTGAGAGAGAGAGAAAGACAACTGTAATAGTAATCAATAGGGATTTTTACATTGTAGAGCCTTCATCCAAGGTATAATATATGTATAATTTAATGAGGAAAAAACATAACTAGGCAAAATTGTAGGAATATTTGCGGACATATAGCAGCATTAGGTCTTTTACACATAAGGCAAGAAAATATTTATATTCCTAGCCAAAACCCCTTAAACATGGTAACTTCAATCACGCTTCTACTTTATATTCTTAAACGGTTTCAGCTACATACTTCTACTTAATTAAGAAAATTAGTTATTACTGTCAGCCAATCTTCTTAGACGTAACTGACGCATTACAATTATTCCATATGCCAATATAGTATTATATATAGAGATGGGAACCATATAATTCGAAGCAAACAACAGAAAGATCATGTATACTTCTTCTGCCATGGATAACAGAATCACAATTTTGGTTCAGCATAGCGGTCAATGGGATATGCAACACAGGTTTAAGAATTTTAGCGTCGATGGGGTGGTGATCAGTATGGAATGGGATTTTAAATCGATTCGTTCGGAGATATCAAAGATACTTGGAGTCGACGCACAAACTGATACGATGGATATTGGATATTCCGTGAAAGAGAATTTTCCACCGATGAAAATATACGACGACAGGAGTTTGGGCTTGTACATGGAGTTGAAAAGCAAAAATTTATCTTTCACTGATTATCCATTGTGTATAACATTTAAAAAGCAGGATAACGATGGTACATGCGCGAATCCAGTTGTTAACAAGGCAAACTCCAATCTTTTTCAGAATTTGTCAATGGTTGACAATCTGGAAACGGTTGAATGTATTAATTCCGGAAACAAAGAGGACTATGATGTTATGCAGATCGATGAAGAGTGTATAATCGGAATCAGTACACATCAAGAGGTTAATGAAGGGCAGCTGTACAAAAACAAGGATATACTGCAAAACGTTATGACACATCTTGCAATCCGAGAGAAGTTCCAGTTCAATGTTGATCGTTCAAATAAAACAAGGTACTTGTAAAGTTAACGAATGATTATATACAATTGAAGGATATGCTTTGTAAGTTGTAATTTAAAAATAATAGTGGTAGTGTTTTCGAATATAATCTTTTCGAATATATTTATACTGCAGGTATTATCTTGTATGTGTGGATGATCAATGCTCATGGAATCTTAAAGCATCAAGCCTAAACACCTCGAATATATTTAAGGTGAGAAAGTTTGAAAAAGTTCACACATGTGAAAATAATTCCAGATTATTTTCACAGCGGCATGCTACCTCTGATCTCGTTGGAAGTTTGATAATGAACAAGTTAGATGATCCAAAGTTGGAGTATACTCCAGCAGAAATACAACGTGACCTCAAGAGGAATTATGGAGTTGATTTGAACTATATGAAAGCATGGAGGTCGAGGGAAAAAGCTTTTGAAATGTTGAGAGGCAAACCAAGCGATTCGTATAATAAGCTGCCAAGGTTTTTGAATATGTTAATGCATACAAATCCTGGGTCAGTGACAAGGTTGGAAAGGTCAGATGACGGGTGCTTCTTATATGTATATGTAGCACTCTTCTCATCAATTAAAGGATGGGAGTATTGCATGCCTAATGTTGTTGTCGATGGTAGCTTTCTAAAATCAACATACAGAGGGACCTTACTAACGGCCTGCACACAAGATGCAGCAGGTGAGTTGATGTAAACATTCATAGGTAGAAATAATTTCAAGTATAATTACACGTGATGTATAACTGTGTATAAATTATACCCTAAATAACCTGAATATTTTGATGGTATCACAGCTTCAACATGTAGTTTAGTATAAATCATGTATAATTTATCATATCCTCGTTTTTATCGAACAAATATTCTTTATCGTATTTGATATGTTGTATAATTTACGTTTTAAATAAAGTTAATTTTGTGATGTTCAATAAGGTAAAATATTTCCGCTCGCGTATGCTGTGGTTAATTCGGAGAATGATGCATCATGGGAGTGGTTCTTCCGGAATTTGCGAGAAACATATGGTATAAGGGAAGGAATGTGCATCGTATCTGACAGGCATGAAAGCATTTTGAAGGCAACATCAGTTGTGTATCCTGAAATGCCTCATTGTGTATGCATCTTCCATCTATGGAACAACATAAAGTTGAGGTTCAAGAAGAGCCAAAAGAAAATAAGGCCCTTATTTTTGCTATGGCTAAAGCATACACAATTGAGGAATTCAACCAATACATGTCAGAAATACGTAATCTTGATGGGAGAGTTAAAGAATACTTATTTGACATTGGATATGATAGGAGGTCGGTAGCGCATTCAACGGTTAATAGGTCCATGGTGATGACATCAAATATTGCGGAATCCATGAATTCAGCGAATAAGGCGGCAAGGGATCTACCTATCTACGATCTGCTTGACTACTTGATGAAGCTGGTTGCGGCTTGGAATAACACAAACAGAAACGGAGCACTGGCAAACATAACCTCAATCTTCACAGATGAATTAGATCATAGGATTGCTAGTAGGCAAGAGTTACTAAGAGGACCAGCATCGAGCGCCTGATGAGTCAGTCATCTGGAACTGCATGGTAATTCCNTGCTAAGGGAAAAAATCATTGCGTCGAGAAGCATGACGGTAAGTTAAATTGACATATAAGGTATAAAGTTAGAATATATACTGATATTAGAGTGTAATGTAAAAAATGTTATTATATATTTGATTGAATATAATATACTATGTATACCGCATATAATGAAATCATTGGTATACAACTTATACAGTGAAATATGGATTATCTTAAGCATCGAACAAAGCAGCAGTGCTTGTTTAGTTTTCTGGATATGAATTAGAAAGTCTTATCCTATCTGTTGCCCTCTTATGAAAGAATATTTTTGAGATATTTGGAAATTTTCTGCTTTGTTCATATGTCCACCATTCACTGGTATACATGCTTATAGTGTGAAACTCCTTCGAGATGTATTTTGGAGTCATTGAAATACTTGTATGGGGCCATTAGCTATCTTTGAGTTTCAGATGCTAGAAAGTATATGCTGATCTTGGTTTTTGAGGAATCAATTACTACTGCTCTCTGTTTTTTATGATTGATGCGTCATTCTTATAATACCCTTGTTGAATGTGTGCTGAAAATTGGTTTGGTATTATTTGGTATAATGTAGGTTACTCCATCAAATGAACACTTGTATACAGTCGTACATGATAGGAGGCGATTTGTGGTGTGCATGCGGGAAAGAAAATGTAGTTGCAGAAGGTTCCAACTAGATGGATACCATGCGAGCATGCGTTGGCGATTGTGACAAAATACCACATGGATGAATACAAATATTGTTCGGTATATTGTAGCAAGGACTACATGCTGAAGACCTATGAATTTCCGGTTTATCCAATTCCTGACGAAAGTCAATGGGAAATTCTTGAAGATGTCTTAGGGGATGCGGTTAAGCCACCAAATGTAAGAGTTAAACCTGGCAGGCCAAAGAAGTCGAGAATCAAAGGTGCCGGTAGGAAAAAAGGTGTAACATTACATGTGGTTTGTGTGGACAACAAAGTCACAACAGAAAAACCTGCAGGAATCCTCCAAAAAAATGTGTTTAGCTCTTATGCTAGTCTGCTAGTGATATCTCTAAGGAGAAGCTTTGTTCAAGCTTAAACAATAGTTTAATAAAAAAAATGCATTATGTGTTATGACAGATCGATTGGGCCAATATAAATGTTGCTATTTCCATATTTACTTCTTATGTCTTCTATCAGTTGATTGAATATTGCCCTTGTGCAAAAACAAAAATAGATGGCAATGACTAAATTTGACGGCACATGTGAGCACGTGATTTTTGCCCTAAGCTATAATTCCCAAAATTTCAAACAAAACAGTTTTTCTAGTATTTATAATTTTTTGTGAATTTTGTGGCATCCTTTGGTAATTGTTACATTTTTATTTGTGCATTTTAATCCATATGAAAATACCAAAAAATAGGCATTGGCATCTAGGGATTTAACTTCACAACTTTAGTAATTAATTTTAGAATAAAATGTAAAGAAAATCGCAAGAAAGTAGTTGCATTTGTCTTTAAATAGAGTTATAAGTAATTCTAGGAGTTAAATAGTGTAATTAGGTCTTTACTTTGTTTTAGCATTTTATAAAATCAGAAAAAATAAATAAATACAAAAATATATATACAAAAATAGATAAAAGAAAAAGAGAAAATTCAAAATGGTCTTGAGTAAAGACCAAATTTGGGCCAAAATCAGGTAGCCCAAACAATTTCCACGTCCAGGTCCAAACACCCTGCCCGGTCCAATTGCCTCACGTTCAAAACGACGTCGTTTTGACGTCGTTTAATCACGACCGTCTATTTTCCCAAATCCAATGGCCACGATTAACTCTCAAAATGGAATAAAACTGTCCGAATTATACACAAAAAATAAAAACATAATTCCTCTTCCTCGTACCAACCCGTCCCCTGTAACGCCGGTGCCGGCCACCCTCCTCCGCCTTAGCCCCACCGTCCCTCCGCCGTCCGCCGCCGGCCGGAAATCGTCGCCGCCGGCGGCGAAGCTCCGATGACCACCAAAATTACACCCTGGAACCACTGTCTCCTCCTCTTTCCAAATCCCCAAATATCATCCTTCAAATCCGACCAGAACATCTCGAATATCGGATTGAATTTTCCGGCCAAAACCCAAAGTACGCCAAATTATCCCAAATTGATACCCTAGGTTCATCTGAGTCTCCTCTATCCAACCCCCATAGCCATTAGTCTCGAATCTGCCCGGAACGTTACGAATTTTAAATCTCAATTCCGGCAGAACCCTAGCTCAGAAAATCTTGGGGATTTTGGACCGTGATTTCCCTAATCATGTGTGTTCTTTTGAAAACACACGATTAGGGATGTTACGCGTCAAGAATCCCGGAGGATTCAAACAAATGATCGGTCAGAGTTCACCCCATAGTCAGTCAAGTGCTCAAGCTAAGTAAGTTTTCCTTGTTCTTCTTCGTTAGTCTTTTTCTTGACTGATATTTCCTCTTGATCAATCAATTTAGGGCTTGAGTTTATTTCTCCTCATTTTTCGGTTGAACCAGTGTTCAAATAGATTAGCTTGTTTCTTATTTGTTATTCTTCATTGTCTTTTAATTAATAATGAGAATTAGGTCGTTTGTCAACTTAGTTGTGACTGAGTTCTTTAGAATTAGGATTGATCATGTTTAGGATTTAGTTTAGGTTTTGAGTTGCTTAAATCTTCTCCAGGCTTCATGAATAAGTTTGTTCTATTAGTTGTGTGTGTCGAATCTGTTTGCTTACAGTTTTGATCAATACTATTTGAGCACTGTTTTACTTTGACTTGTTATTAGTAGTTGTTAATCCAAAAATCAGTAGTTATTTGAATTTAGGATTTGCGATTGGATTGGTGGCTGGTTAATTTGCAGAAATAGTTATTTGAACCAGGGTCAGTTAGAAAGTTTAGTGTAGTTAATGTAGGCTAGTAATTTCAGGAGGTTCAAAGGGTAGTTTAGGCATAGGAAAAAGGTACTTTCATCAGATTTGGTAATTTTTAAAGGGGGGTAAGGATAGAATAGGGATTGTAACAAGTATAGAACCTTCTAGGATGGACTATAGTATAGATTTCAATAGAATAGGTGTAGTTACTTGTGTAACAAGTCAGAAAATAGAGGACTAAGTGATTAAAACTGGAATTTGAAGGAGGGACTAAAATGTAAAGTTGAAAATCTGAAATTCTGTTAGTTTTGCCTATAAAAGGTGGTCACTAGTGCCTTCATGGGGGGACTGGGTTTTGAACATTCCGGAATCTGAGAGGAATTAGAGTTGAAAAATCAGAAATAAGAGATGTTCCATTGAAAATCTTTGAAAATTTTTGTGGTACTCATTCTGTGACAAATTCTGAACAACTGAAGGTCAAAAATGAGCTGAATCTGTTTAGTATTCAAGTTTTTTGGTTCACTCTTGGGTGGATTTTGATTCTGAACTTTAAGGATATCATTGCGGGTTCAAAATTGTGGAAGTGGTCTTTTCTCGATCATTTCTGGGCTGATTTTGTGGCTGACTCTTGTTCCTGCTACTGATTCCATTGCTGATCCTTCATTTCTCTGTTCGCTTTTCAATTTCCAGGTATACCCTGACACTTGTGGATATTACTCGAATGTAATGGAAAGCTTGGCTTCTGAATATGAGACTGCTGTTCACTTGCCTTGAATTATTTGCTTCTTTAGTTCCTGTTTAGTTTTAGCGTATTAAAGTATGCTTGAAATACACAGCCTCGTAGTGGCATTGATTGGTGTTAAATTTAAGTGAGTAGGCTATAACTGATTCATCTTCTGTAATGACTCACTCTTCACTACTGTTTTCTTAGTTTTTTTGCTATAGCTGAGTATTTGATTTTGTAATAAAAGAGGCTTTCATTATGGTGTTTATAAGTTGTTCCTGTTGTGTAGTTCAATGACAGTATAATCTGGGTCTGGCATGGGCTTCATAAAATTGTAGTTGTCCTTGCTGGGATTCGATCCCAGGCTTCGGCATCACAGCTGCCTGAATTGCCCTTTACCTCCACTGGGCCGCCTGCTTTCGTTTGGGCCTGGGTGTCTTAATAGAACCCAGGTCTGCTTTGACAAAACGACAGGCCTGATGACTGTGGCCCTGAAAATTTAGTGCACAAGGTGCCCGTTTGCAATCTGGGCTCGAGGCCCATTTTCTCATTACCTATTTCTGGTTATTTAAATTTGGGTTTGAAATTCATAGCCTTAACTAATTAAGACTTCCTCTTCATTTTAGAGACTGAATAAAAATGATAAATCATAATTACATGAGGTTTGTCTTCAAAAGCTAAATGAGACGATCCTCACTAAACAAAACAAACGAATTGCGGGGCCCTCGATAAATGTTTATGGTAAAAATGCCTAGACTTCGGGATGTGTTGTCTAGCGAATTTTACGACCTTCCCCAAATAATAACACGCTAGCTACTTTAGGCGCGCGTTTTAAATAAAATCACCTTCCTAAACACGGGTGCACATTTATGTGACCCAAATCCAAATCTCAACGAAGTCGAAATGTGTTGACAATCACGGGTGCACTGGTGCGACGCGGTTCGAAACACATTTTCACGACGTTGCAATTCTTTTTTTTTCAAAAAAATAAATAAATAAAATATAAATAAATAAAGGGCACATAGGTTAGTACATGTTTTAAAATCAGGTAAAAGCAAATACAACAGTGGAGCGACCGTGCTATAACCACGGAACCCGGGAATGCCTAACACCTTCTCCCGGGTTAACAGAATTCCTTACCCGGATTTCTGGTGCGCCGACAGTTAACAGAGTCATAACTTCCTCGGGTCGGGATTCAACTAGGTGACTTGGGACACCCTAATTTCCCAAGTGGCGACTCTGAAATCTCAATAATAAATCCCGTTCCGATTGTCACTTTAAGTTGGAAATAATTCCTTTTATCCTACCCTCTTCTCATAAGTGTAGATAAAAAGGAGGTGTGACAGCTCTGGCGACTCTGCTGGGGACACAAACCCAGAACTTCG